CAGGCGCGCCGCCTCTTGGAAGTTCGCCCCCCGGGCTGTCACCAGAGTGTCATCTGCGTAACAAATTACACCCAGCCCGGGGGGGAAATCGGCTCGAAGGGCCCAGTCGTACCCTATGTTCCACAAGAGGGGTCCAAGAACAGACCCCTGTGGAACACCGCACGACATGGGCCGACACCTCAAATTACCCTCTCGGTCCTCGTACACGACGGTACGCTCCTCTAAATAGTCTGCCACTAGCCGCCTCAGGTACTTTGGCACCCCATGATAGTGGAGTGCTTCCCTGATGCAGCTGAATGGCAGACTATTGAATGCGTTGGCGATGTCCAGTGACACCGTAAACAGCACGCCACCACAGCTCACGGCCTCTTCGGTCACGGCCCTTAGGCGCAACACAGCGTCGACTGTCGAACTTGCCCCGCCCGAAAACCAAATTGGGCGTCCGACAGATCGTGGCCCACCTCGTAGAGGTGCCGGACGATGCGGGCAGAGAGAACCTGGCAGAGGGCCTGTAGGCCGCGACCGAATCGGCAGGCCGTCCCGGCTTCCTTAATAGGACCAGCTTCCCGCTCTTCCAGCAATCAGGGAAGCGTCCCGATGCCAAGCTAGCGTCGAACACCTCCCCGAGGCGGTCTGCCATGTGGTTGAGGGCTAGGGCCAGCACTCAGGCCGGTACCCCGTCTGGCCCAGGGGCGGTGTTCTTGTCTCTGAGTTTTTGTCGCGCCGCGCGGTAAGGGCGACCCCAGGGGTCACAATTAAGACCCTCCAGCATCTCCTCTCTCTTTTCTTCTTTGGCGCGGCTAATGGCCAGCTTCAGAGTTTTCCGCGCCTGTCGGTACTCCTCATGAAGCCGGTCCTCCTCACCGTCTCCACGGTGACGCCGCCGACTGCGCGTGTAGGACCTCCGGGCACGTGTACAGGCCGCACGGAGGTCCGCCAGGTCCTGGGACCACCAGTAGACCTCCTTCCTTGGAGGCCGACAACCTCGAATGCGGGGCATGGCCGCATCGCAGATATGCGTAATCGCATCGCGAAAGCGACCAGCCCCCACGTCGACCTCCTCGGTCGGAGCCTGAGGAGAAGGCCACGAGTGAATTATGGCTGCCTCCTCTAGTAGGTCCCGGTTCAGTCTGGTCAATGTGTTACCCTATACCAACCCGTCCTGGCCAGCGTGGTATAGTAGGCCAAAACCTCTTTTCTAAGGAGAGGCCTGTGTCCAGCAGTGGACTATTAAAGGCTGTTGATGTGTGATATGTAAATGTGTTAAATTTTATAACACGGAGTGATATTCTTCGATAAGTTAATCCTAAAATAAAAAGAGTCTGAATTTCTTCTGAGTGATATAGAATTAAACTTTGTGCAAGTGCAAGGCAGGAACACAAGTGAAATATAAAAAAACTAAAAAACACTTGACTTAAAAAGGTAAAAAAGAGTTTCAATATCTTCTTTCTGGGTACATCGTTTGACCATTGTTGCCAAGTTAAATCTGCTATTGGGTCTACTGGTCAGAACGAATAAGATCCTAAACTTAAGAGGTTATGAATTGCCACTGATGAAGTCCACTATTCACTTTCCTCCTTCACTATTATTTATTTATTTATTTGAAGGAAAACCAACAGCTTTAACATTGAGATAGTGACAATAATATAAAAAATTTCACCAATTAATAGTCTTCACAGATATGCACTATTTTACATAACTTCATATTCAATTACAAGAAAGGGAGAAAGAAATCTTGGCTTTTAGCACCCGACGAACTGTAGTTATTTTAGTGTTGAAAATATCAATGTCACGTGACTAGCAGATCGGATCATTAGATTGGGTTTAAGATGTCGAATTATAGTATTGTCATCCAAACTTCGTATTCATAAAATTTTAATTTCACAATTAGAAGAAGATGCAAATTGCCTTCCATTTGTTTACTTAGTTAATAAAAGCCTATTAAAATTCAGCTCGTACTTGAAAATTACATATAATCAACGCGAGAATAAATAGTTTCGTTACAACTGTTTTATTACATAAATTAATTATGTATGCATGCAAGCATGTATAATTTGCCACCTTAGGCAAAATTACCATACGCGTGCCCGTATTCGTCGCGTGTGGAAGTTAGGAAATAGCTTGTTTGTGTGCATGTTTGATCAGTTCCTATGAATAAACTAGTGGTTCAAGGTGTCGGACGCATCATTAAAACAATTACACATAGATTAATGTCTGTACAGTGTATGTTACTAGTTCAGCCATTCAGCAAACCGTAAAACACGTTCATGTTTAACGGTTTTATATTTTCGGATACGTTGGTAATTGTGGTGTCATGAATTCATAGTCTAATGTGTGCTATCATAATCTTGTTTATACCCTTTCCCAATTGTATGTCAGTTATGCACAATTTGTACATTGCAAGAGGTTTTGGATGGTTTCTTTTATGACTGAGTTGGGCGGTGGCCACGCTGCTCGCAACTACGCTGAGTGCTGTGGGTCCGATCCCCACATGGGTCGACACTTTGTGTGATCCACAAATTGTTGTTCTGAGTCTGAGTGTTCTTTGTGTCCGTTTCATGTTTGTTAGTAAAGTAATTAATATTATTTAACGGGAATTCGGTTTAACGGTCAGCCTGTGACCACGGCCGGTGCAACCTGGTCGAAACGTCAGGCAAACCAGAGGTATGTAATACCCTAAATAAGAGATCGCGTTAATTCCCGTTAAATAATATTAATTATCATGGAACGCGAAAGTTTAAAAATGTTAGTAAAGTACCCAGCGACATAGGATATATTCGTAACTTAAAAAAAAAACTGGCTGTTTTCCTAACACTAACTCTATTTAGAAATGTATTCGTTTTAAGACAAGTAAGAGAAAGGAAAAAATATGTAAATTGAGGCGAAAACGCATACAATATCTCGTACTGGTCGATGACGACCAGTTCAGAATACTATTGGAGATATCAACATGCAATTTCAATGAGTGCTATCTTGGCATCTTATTCCTATCAGACAAATTGTTCAACACTACGATGACGTCATTTTTAAAAAAGTAAGACCGTATGATAATAGGGAAAACAATATAGCACCCAAAAGTATGGAAACTGAAACGTGAATGCGGAGATATTTACTCGAGAAAAGGCCCCTTAATTGCATAACATTATGTCATGAGCCCCAAGCGGCAGGTAATCCTCAGTATGAAATAATCGGACATAACATTGTTCTAACGACACGAGCTCAATTTCAACCGTAATTTCCGATAACTTTCATCTTCATTCGCTGTGCTGTGCGTCAAGACTTTCGCCCGATGGTGTTTTATCTCGAGCGAACCAGTTACTGTTACATCACAAAGCCTTTAAGGCACTCTGACTTTGATAGATGTTTTGTTTTTATAGGATGTAACGTAATCATTTTGTAATATCTACAACTTAATATGAGTCTCGTTTTCTTTTCTTTGCTGTGTTTTTTTTATCATTAAAAGTTATTAGATAATTAATGTTTTTTACCTTTTGTTAAAAACATACCTTTCGCTTACATACAAGTAATGATTCTAACAAATACTTGAGAGAAATGTGAATTTGTTTGTGAATTAATGTATAAGGAATGTTCGAAATTATTTGCTATTGGCCAAAACCTCCTTTCTAAATAGAGGCCTATATCCGGCAGTGGACTGTTAAAGGCTGTTAATATTTGCTATTAAATTAATTAGCATATTTTATTATTTAATAGTAAAAATTAACGCCATATTTCTTTCATATTTGCCTAAAATTTTCTTTAAAACCAATGCCAATTTCAGTATGGGCTCGGTATGTGACAGTGATTGATACACAAAAAACAAATTAATTTTGTCAAAAAAGAAACGCAATTACTTTGAGGAGCAATAAAATTATTAGTTTATATTTAGGAAGGTTATAATTATTGTTGTTATTACAAAACAGAAGCCGATAATCTCACAACACCAAGCAAATTCGTACAAGAATCCATTAGAACATATTCTAATCTATCATAATATCAACTAGTTTTACAACCTTGAAAACATTAACGGTCGTGGGTATGAAAAGTTCAAAAGTAAAGGCTTATAATAATGCATACAAAAATCTAACAGTGTTACGACTAGTAATGTACAAGATACACATCTTTTAAAAGAATAGGTATCTCACAAATCTGGAACTAGGTCTTCTCACGACCGTGAAAAATATATTATGAGACATATCAAAACATGTTTACACACTTGAGGCTAAATGAAACAATTCACCATTAAAATTAACTAACAGCACAATTGAGTGTTTACAATGAAATTTATGGACTATAGGATATATTCGTAGCTACTATTAAACATTACAATAGATTATATTACTATTCTTGGCTGTTAATAGACCACACGCTTACCACTATACAGTTAAATGACCTTTGCATGTATTGTCATAATTGTTTGATATTATCATGGCCATGACTTTGATTTTATAACAACACTATACGTTTTGCTCTCACTTCCATTTTCACATTTATTCTAGTTTTTGGGTCCACAGCAGCAATACTTTCACTATTATAGTGGATATGTTTCGTAATATGTTAAGTTTATTATATAACGTTTAAATAAGGTTAAACCTACATAAGAGTTTTTTGCTGTCAACAAATCCTTTTAGTTATTTTTGAACCGTCATTACCGCTTTAAAAATTTCTATTATTGTAGTATGTGTTAATTCTTTTTATTACTCATGCATCACTATAAAAATCTTCTCTGACAATTCTTTTCTTGGCCTTATTTTCTTATAGCTCTTCTGTTTATGTAGTATAGTTCAATCTTGATCTATTACCTACTAATTATTCTCTGTTGTCTTAAAATATCTCAGGTTTTCTTTAGTGTTCTTATAATATTAATACACCTACTTTTCTTTCTTGATTCTGTCTTCAAATACATACCTTCCGCACTCGCCTTATATACCTAGAAAATACGTTTTCTGATTTTGATAACTCAGACAATATATGAATAAATTCTCGAATTCCAGGTGAGATCAATGTTCGGTAACAGTGACAACACAACAGAATTAATGCTACCAATATTATTAGATATGGCTAATCTATTCAGAAGAGCTGTAAGGTCAGGGAAAGAACCACGAGAAGTTAAACTACCATACGAGCCATCTTCACAACAATTACTAAGACGATTTGACACAGAAGACATTGTATTAGATGACGAACCATTTGATATGGGCCTAGAACAAACTACTGTAGCTAGCCGTAGGTTTACTTCAAGGAAACACACTAACAAGACTGACACCAGAAATATACAAAACTCATTTAAATATAAAGCAAATAACAAGACAGACACTAATACCGATGTAAGTAGAATTTACCATACTCATAGCATTTGTTTATCAATAATTATTTACGAATTAGGACTAAATTTACAAATATACCAAGCGTTTCTTATTTTCCTTTAGAGGAATGGTACCTTAAATTAATAAACACACGGCCGAACGTGGTACCTTTTCCTTAATGGAAAGTCGATCAAAAATAATAATATTCATAACTTTCAACGTTAATGTCACTTAATTTTAAGAAAAAGCCAAAATCTCACTACATGTAACCGAGGTTTCTGAGGGTTTTCCTCACATAGTAAAATTGAATCTAGTCATGGTGACAATGAGATCACTATTAAATCACACCTTCTCGTACAAAAAAAAATCGGTTCATACATGGCGTAAATTTCGGTTTAAGTACATGATTAAATAATATACACAACCGAACAAGCGGAACACAGAAACTCATCCTTTTTTAAAGTCTGTTAAAAAGTACTAATATGACTATTTGGCTTTCTACAATAAATAAACCTGTAGTGTATAAGAATATAAGCGCTGTACTCGAAATTTATAAAATTGTTAATCTGATGCTTAATTTGAAAATTGTATCGTTTTAGGACAATTCAACGTTGTCAACTTCTACAACAACAGAATCTGAGGCTGTATCAGCTAAGAATATTTATTCTAATATATCAAGATCCGATAATGGTACCCTAGACTTAACGGCAGACGCATCGAATCAAACTTTGGCTCAAGACTTACCAGTTGCAGAGAAGCTTAGGGCGTTAAGTAGATACACTGACAGAAAAGGTTAGTTCTTTTTAGCCAAAACCATAAATGTCATAATAGAAATTTACTAAGTTAACCCTAGCTTACTCAAGAAATGGAAACTGTAATTTAATCAATTTATAACTTTTAACATTCTCAGGTTCTTCATACCGTCGTGGTTTTTACACACCCAAAATACCATCACAAATTGTCAGACGTACAACGCCTGAACCGACTTCTACAACACCGTCAGTGATACGAAGAAGACCACCGTTACTCGGAAAAATACCGACAAAAAGAAAACTACCCACTTCCACAGCCGATACAAATACGTGCGAACTGTTTACTAATACGTTATGTTTGAACTCTGATGATTACCCTACGTAAGTATATTGCTTTTTATTACAACAGCTATTTTAATTTTTTTAATCTATTCTTGTAAAGAGACCACATGATCTCACATGCGCACATTAACCTTTTGTGTTCTACTGTAATATAACTGCCGTATTTCAAATATTAAACAAATACACCCCAGAATAACACAATATGTAGTCAATAAACTCAATTGTTTCGAAAAAAGCCAAGATACGGAAAGATGTATCAAAGTCGGGCCGATACGACCTTCAAACCTTCAAGAAAAGAGCGTACTCCTTCCTAAAAGGCCGGCAACGCGTTTGTGACTCCTGAGTTCATGGGCGGCGATTGTCACTTTCCGTCAAGTGACACGTCTGCTCGTCTGCCCCCTCTAATGTATATTTTATGCAATAGAGTACATACCAATTACGACCAGGATTCATTTCATAACAGCGATAATTCAAATAATTTAATATCTTGGTGTGTGAATAGTTAGTAACCAGTAAAACGACTTAATTTTAAATTTGATTGTTTTCTTTAATATTTTGAAACTAGTTATTTTTTATGTATCCGCATTTCGTTGCATAAGAAGGATTATATAGAAAGCCGAAGCAGCGAAAGTGATTCTTGTTTCGTGTGGTTTGCAAATGTCATGTCGTTTACGCGGTACGATATGAATGGCTGTTATTTTAAAATACGAGATAGAGGCTTTATGTTGAATGCGCAATTTCATGGACACAATGACAAACATTATTAGGCAGTTGTATAATTATAAATAACACGTAAATTATTTTTTCTTTGTTTAGTTTTAAATGGAGTCAAATTTGGAAATGATTAAATTCCTAATGAGCGTTGAAGACAGGTAAGCGGTTAGCTATAAAAAAAATCAAACTTCCAAGAAAATAAAAAAGATGATGGTAGGGCCCTTACGATGTGGAGTGATAAAATTAAGAAGATGAATTCATAAAGCATTTATATATTTATTAAAATTAGGTAATGTTAACAAAATATACTGTCGATGAAATGAACGATGAATTGAAGCTTGACATTGAAGAACTACAGTAGTAATCATTCGAATATTAATTATTTATAAATAAAGACTTAAAAACAATGTTATACTAATACTTTCAGAGAAGCGATAGTCCAATCAATACGACGTAATAAGGCAGCAGCTGCAGCTCTTCTAGCAGAGTACAGGGATCCAGCTGAAGGGGTCATTGATGGAGTGACAGCTGCACAAGAAGCTAAATATAATGAACAACATTATTTGGTTTCTAACAGGTACGTGATTTCGTCCCTACTTGATATTTAATACTTGTTGTTGTTGATTGTAGTTGTATAACTCGTGGAGCGATTCACTGAGAATTTTTTTGGTCTAGTGGGTACTTTTTGTACTACTGAGCCCGAGTTTTTGGGTTTGATTACAATTAAAGAAAAATAACTGAGTGATGAGCACGATCATGTATTTTAGGGCTGTGTGTATAATTTAACTATAATATACAAGTTTAAAAAAAAATCTATTATTTTTATTTATCAGCAGTTTGATTAATATCACTACAAATGTACATTACTGCATAGGAGACTAATACAGTATAGGTTAAGATACAGTACTTTCATACATTATATATTGATTATTGTTACATTTATTAAAGCGCATTGATTTATAGTGCATTGTAAATTGCCAACTTCATAATTAAAAGATTTTACCAACAGTCGATGAAAACAGCAATAAAAGTAATGTTAAATCTCCCCCCAATAGGCGAGGCGATGCTGCCAATCGAGACTTTGCAAGTGCTGGTGAGGCAGGATTTATGTGTCCAAGCACAGTCAAGTACGCACGACCCCAGCGAGCTAGAGCCACATCTGGACTTTGGAAGTACATCGTTAATACTGGAGAACATACACAGACTTTAAGATTAGAGAAATGCTTGTAAGTACAAGAAGCTTTATAAAACTTTAGAGGAATATCATTTTACTGATCTCAATTTCTTTTGTTGTTAGAGCTGTTTATTGTATAAGATACATCTTTGTTGTCTTTGTTGAGAAAGAACCTATTTCAAATATTGATTCAGTGAACGTGATCATAGAAATATTAACAAATTGAGATGAATTGTGTAACGATATTATTAGGATCACTTATAAGTTACACTTACGTAACTATAACGAATATCTGCTACGAATCATAACAAAATATTTAACAAATTACACAAAAGTCACTGTCGTATATTATTACATATCACATCACATCACACATCAACAGCCATTAATAGTCCACTCCTGGATATAGACCTCTCCTTAGAAAGGAGGATTTGGCCTACTATACCACACGGATACTTGTGGAACGGTACATATAGGAATATAAATATTAGTGACTTGGGATACCAAAAACTTTAAATGATTAATATATCTTTTATTTGCATTTTCCAGAAAACCCAAAGAATCCTGTACTTACTTAACAGATAATTTCAAATCGAAATGCGTTCAAGTATATAATTATCACCGGCTGCTTACCTGGGATCAGCAGAACGGTCTTCATATGGATATATTCAAGGTACGCTTAAAATATAACTTTGAATAGTATTTTTTTTCAAGTAGACTATACATATTTATATTGATGTCATGTCTCACGAGTACTTCTAATCTTTACACCTCTTAAAGTATTCAATTGTAATGAATGTTGCCATTTTTTCAGGTTCCAACATGTTGTTCGTGTCACATAGAAGGATACAGTGTATCATTCCCTCCTCTTGGACATAGAGTTCAAGAAACGTCTTCAGAACACTTCCCGGGAGAAGATTTATCTGCAGAACAAGGAAATCATGCTTTTGAAAATGTGCAGTCTACTAATCTTCAACCCAAAATAAAATCACCGCCATTTTCGCAAAGAAAACCTTCGGAGTCATTACCACCGTTTTCAGGTCACAAAAAAACCTTAGACTCATTTTCACAGTTCTCTGATACCCAAAACTTAATATCAGGGAGTCCATTTAGTAAGCAAAATGATAACGATGAATCTTTAGCTTCAAACCCTATTGATTCTTATGGAAATACATACTTCCCCGACTCTTTCAATCAGGCCAGTAACATAAGACACAATAAAAGACAACCTTCTGCTAGAAATCCTGTACAAAACTTTGATGAAGTAACGTTGCCCAGTTTCTTAGAGCCTCCGACTCCTGCAGCTACCTCAACATTTAGTTTTGTTAAAGACACTTCTTCAAAGTTCAAACTACCGGGAAATCAATTTAAAAGAGCCCAATCAAGACCGAGTCTAACAAATCGTAGACCTATAAGGAAAAATATATCTGACCCAGACGATTTGGTATCATCAGGAACAGAAGCTCTTGAATCTTACCCCAATGAAAGTGAATCAAGAGAAGAGGTTAATAATTATGAGGAACCCGAAATTGGTCAAGCTACTGCTGTAAGTAATCCTCCTAAAACTAGATTTACCATAGCACCAAAACTACACGCTCAAACCACAGAAAAAGAACAAACTACACCTGAACCAAAACAATCGAGTACTGTTAATGTAAATTATGAATCAAGGGGGCAAAGAATAAATTATAACTACCATCCGATAATAGACTTTTTTGAAGAGGATAAAGAAATAGAAACAGATAATATTATGGATAGAGAAGATGTAGGACAAAGTTATGTTCCATTATTAGATTCAGAATGGAAACCTATCGAGCATCCTATTTCTAGAACAAGAAAAACAAACACAGTTGAAAGAAAAAAACATAAATGATTTAAAAATAAGCCTTGGTAGATGTTACCTAAGATATTGATGAGAGATGAATAATTTTAGGGTAATTCAAACAATTCGTCATGATCTTAGAATGATGTCGGTTTGAAAAAAATACAAAATTCTGTTTTTGCTATATTTGGATACTACATTCTATATATTATTACCACATTCAAGAAAAAGTTATGTATTTTAGATTTCAAGTTATTCAGTGTTTGTTTGATATGCGCTCAAAGTAAAATAAAGCATGTGATTTTTCTAGAAAATTGTAAAATTATTAGTTGTTATTTTTATTGCATTTTAAACAAACCCCATTTTTACTTGTATGTCAATTTTCATAATTACAGATTTAGAATTTATATTAAAAAGTAATGTCAAGAAAATATCATAATTATTTGAAATGGCTGCCCTGTATAGTTCAATAAATGGTAGATCTGACACTATTCCACGACTGTGACGAATTATTCATATTAGGGTACAGTTTTACTTGTATTATTATTATAAATTAAAATTAGTTAAAGTACTTATAAGATACTCAATATTGTGTTTCTTTTTGTTGATCAATCGAAACCAAATCGAAATATTTATTGTTTACGTATTTGTAATTTATTTAAATTATGTAATATTTAAGGAAAAGATACATGTTAATATGTAAGGTTTTAAAGACTTGCCACTGGAGTAATTAAACATTTAAATAGTAATGTTTTTGTTTTCTACAAATTGATTAAATATCTCCTGTGTATTAAGTGTATGTAGTATACAAATGTATGTGCTCAATCGAGGAACTGGTACTGAATATAATTTTTAATCAAGGAGAATGGCACATACCGTCTAGTATCAAAGTTACAAACAACTTACACCTACTTTAGGCATAGTGTAAATTGTTCTGTTTTTATTTTCACTGATGATATTCGGTGTGGTGATAGGTTACGAAAACAGAGTGTCACGCATTAATTCCATGGGTATCGCAAGATCCTACTAAGACAGCAAACTACGCAGGACAACAGCACTGGAAAGAGAAGAAAAACATGAAACAAATCATATGCCAACCCGTTTGACTTCTGTACAGTAAGGTGGTGTTCCACCTTTCTAAGAAGAGGTCTATGTTCAGCAGTCACAGGCCGATGGTAATGACGAATTGATGAGATTAGAGCTTAGGTCAATCGATACCAGAAAGTGTATATGGTAGCAATTTGGACATGATAATAGATAAAATATAGTAATAATTTAAAAATTCATCAACTTCAAACAAACTCATAATATTTTTATATTTGAGATCTCAGTACTCTGCAACGTCAGAACGATAATAAAGTGAATTTTCCCGCTTTGAATTTTTCTTCGACGATTGAACTAAGTTCAATGTCAGTGGCGGCACGTACGACTCTTGTTCAATGCAAATACTTGCATCTAAGGGATAAATTTATATACCAATAATATTATTCTGTTTGAAGGACTCAGAAGAAAGATATTGTAATAAAAATTCAACTTTATAAAAAAATAAAATTTCATTATCACATCAACAGCCTTTACTAGTCTACAGCTGGACGGTCTGGACATAGGCCTCTCCTTAGAAAGGAGGTGTTGGCCTACTATACCACACTGCCCAAACGGTTTGGTATAGGGTTTGTGTCAAGTTTTCCTTCTCTTTGCAGTGCTGTTGTCCTGCGTAGTTTGCTCCCTTAGTCGGCTCTTACGACACCCACGGGATAAATAGGGGTGACACTCAGTATTCTTAATCCGTCACCACACGAACAGGAGAAAAAAATATACAGCTAAAATTGGTTTAAATTTAAGAGAATTGAGTGGAAAATTAAGGAATGAAGAATAAATTCATCTTATGTGGGTGCTTTGAAGTCTGTTATACTAAAAATGAATTAAACCAAAGTACGTATAGCGTATAATATGAGGTATAATCGTAAATTAAATTATTTATTGTAATATTTTTTTACGTCATATAAAATTTGAAGTACACTCATAAAGTAGAAGTAAAGAAGTAAAATCATTTTGAATATAATTTTAGAAAATAAAACTGTAAAAAAATTATAATTAAATAAGAAACTGATTGAGCAGGCTGTTACCTAACATTGTCGATGAAAAGATAAAATTGCGAAATTGTTTGATCATTTTGCCGAACCTGTTAACCACAAAAACAAACAACTTTAGTTGCAGTTCTAAAGTGCAATCAAAAGTGCATTTATAGACACAAATGGAGCACTAGCATTAATTGAAACAATGCTTTTTTGTCATTTCAGATAATATACGAACTCTTCTGATGGGGATTGTAATTTTTTTTACTGAAGTTTATCATTTAACTACTGAATAATTTAGTTTACTCTTGAAGGTCTTATCTACTTCACTAATGATATTCAGAGTCTAGTCTACAAGAATGCGTCGACAGGAAGGCTTCCACGGATCTACAATGTTATACACTATTATTTAACTGCCTCGGTGGTGTAGTGGTAGTGTACGCGATTGCTGTCCTCAGTACAACATTCGCGTTCACTACTACTCGGGTTCGATTCCCGAGTCGGACCAAATGTTTGTATGATCTACAAATATTTGTTTCGGAGTTTTGGTGTTATCTATGTATAATATGTGTGTTTTAACAAAAAAGTTTTCTATCAGTCAATCTAGCTTTTATAGTACAAGCTCTACTTAGTTTGAAACTAGATGGCGTTGTGTGCAAGATGTCCGAAAATATTATAAATATTATTATAATTGACTTGATACTAGGATAGGTAGACAGTGAAGAGTTTTATTAATGTGGCATATAGTTTATTTCATGCAATTTTTCATTAACCACATGAGAGAGAGTATGTTATGGTACAAGTACGAGAATGGGACAGCAAAATGTAATTAACCAGGCTACAGGTGAAAGCAGACATTTAATGCTATACTTAAGTGTAATAGCTGAAATATCGCAAAAGCATTTTTTAGCTGTATTTATAAGAAAATCAGCTGTACCATCCTACACTTCGCTTTTGCCCATTGTGGTACCATTGATAAGAAATGAGGAAGAAAATTGACGCGAAAAATAGATAAAAACAATCTTAAAGCGGGTTGTACATTATGTCAAAATTTAAGCTCAATCGCTTCAGAACTTTTTGAGTTTTTGAAGCGTACTTTTTAACATTTTTGGATATATAGTTATTGGTTTTGTTTGTAGGCTCCAGTTTCCGCATTTAGACTCAAGAATCGTCCTTTATGCGTTGAGGAAAGGCTAGTTAGGTGAGCCAACCAAGCACCTTCCAGAAGCGCAGAAGCCTCCTGTGACGTTCACAGGCTTCTTGAAAAGATATATAGGTATAGATACACGGATTTCTTTCATTAGTTCAACTATATTAATATCAAAAGAAGTTATTCATTTTAGGTCAACTATTTTCTTAATATTTGGTCCAGTGGTTAGTGACCCTGACTGCTAAACTGGAGGTCGTGGGTTCGATTCCCACCCAGGACAAATATTGGGGTCAGTTGTTCTGTGTCTGGGTGTAATTTATCTATAATATGTATCTACATATTTAGAAATATATAAGTATGTTTATCAGCAGTCTGGTAACCATAGTTATTGTCTGTCTAGTTTGGGATCAAACGGCCGTCTGTGAGATGTCTGAGGTAAATATGAGGTAATTTCAGTTTTTGGTCTTTAATTACTCTATTTTGCAGTTATTGACTCCTTGATTCTTTTAATTTCTGAGTAGTTTATCTCTATAACAATATAGAATAAAACTTAGTGCTATCCCGACTCTAACAATAGAGTCGGGATCGCACTAAGCAATAAATATCTTTCATTAAAGGGTTTTATATCTAGGCGAGCTTTAATAGTCTAATTGTCGTTGATAAGTTTCATCATATAAGAGTGTTGTTTATATTTATGACTACGCGTTTACTAAATTGTGTTATAAACAAAATTTTACCAATACAGTTAGCCGGCGTTGAAAGTGAAAGCTGTACCACCAAAGTTGAATGTACTACGTGAAGATATTCATCATTTGTTCAAGCTCAACAAAATAGTGTAACAGCAAACAAAAAGTGTGTTGTGACACCAACCCAGATGTGAAATGAGACAACTTATTGTGTGATAACAAAGTTAATGGAATGTTTGTCAATACATTATTGGATATTTTGCAATATTTCATGTTTAGAAAATTGTATTAAATTATTTTGTGTTGACCGGTGTGTAAATACTATACGTACTTATAGCGTAATTATCATGCTGTCGTTTTGAAACTTCAATGACTCAAAACATACAAATTAATTTTTTCAATTTCCAGTTCAAATTTCCTGTACATTATGTCATATAGTAAATTTTGACTGCACGTATGGCGTAGTGGTTTAAGCGGTCGCCACGCCGCTCACTATTGACAGTATACTCACACGTTGAGTGTTGTAGGTCCGATCCCCACATGGGACGACACTTTTTGTGATTCACAAATTGTTGTTCTGAGTCTGGGTGTTCTTTGTGTCCGTTTCATGTATGTTTGTAAAGTTCCCCGCGACACAGGATTTATTCCTAGTGCGGGAGTAGTCTTTAAAAAAAATAAGGATTTTTGGACACTTTTATTGAATGCCTTATGTAATTTAACAATGTAAGAAAGTATGACTCTGAACCTCATTGGATAGTACTACATCCAATTCACAAATTGATTGCAACTTCGCGTGTGTAATGTCATTCAATAAAAAATCAAATATAATTTTATAGAAACTTTTATTTATAAAAATAACAAGATTATAAATAAATTTGTTTTAAAATTAACAGTTATATCTATCACAGTATAGTTAACAATAGAGAATTGTTTCAGATGTTTGATAACGACTCACTCTGATCGCTTTCGACTTGCAAAGCAACGTAACGTGGCACTTTCTATTACAATCGACTAATTACTTTTAAAATAATCAAACATAATAACTTAGGAAACTACGAAAATAATTTAGATTTATCAATGAATTTAGTCTAATTATATTTTACATCACAATGTTAATTTTATTACAACATGTACGAGTACATGAACTATTTCGTAGTCGTTGAAGGGATGTAATATTTATCAACTAAACTATTAGAATTAGAATAGGTGATATGATTTAATTATGTAATTGGACTGAATCGACTTAATGCCATGAATATTTGTATAGATTTCTACTTTTAGTAATATCCTTATTTGCAGACAAAGTTCATGCTTAACAATGATTTACGAAGTTAAAAATCTCGTATGAACAATTCATGAATTTGCTAATAATTTTTCGGTAGTGACACAGAATTTGAACGTACACTTTGTAGTTTATTGCTAAATCACTGGTGTGTACATTGCCTTTTAAACACATATATGATTTTTATAAGTGTAACGACTAATTTGCAAGTGTATCAGATGGATGTATGTGAAGCATTTTTAAATTCTAAATTGGATGAAGAGTTGTATTTGAGAATGCCTGAAGGGACATTTACTTATATATATATATGACTTGAAATGGGGCAAAGTATTGGAATTAATAATGTCATGTTGTCGCACATTACCTAATTTTTGTCAGTATATTCAGTTCTACCAAAATACTATTATTTTAATCACAAATTTATAGAAGCAATAGAAAAAAGCTTTATTAAATTGAACTGACTTTGATTTCTTTGATATATTTAAATTTATACATCAAGGTAATAATACATTCGTTTACTAGGATCTACGATATAGCCTGGGGTGGTGGTCAGAGCGGGCACTGCTTGGACAAATCTGTTAAGCAGAATTGTTGCACTTCTTCGAGCTTCTCTTGAAGGATTATTCACTTTAATATCATCATTTTTTGGTTTTTCAACCACTAATTTAGCACTCCGATAATTGCCTCCATGCAACCTGTCATGCCTTGAGTTGTGTGGTGACGACTTATAATCATCGTCTTGAGTTGAATCGTCATCATCAGGATCGTCATCCAACTCAATTAATTTTTCACTTTTTCTACTACCGCGTCCTTTGTGTTTGAGATTACCTCCATGCATTCCTGTTCCCGGAGAATTGCTAAGTTCAACTAATTCAGCATTTTTTCCTGTCTTTCCACCCCTTAATGAATGCTGATTATCTTCACGTATTCGTTGGGGAGTGAACTCATCTAATTCAACACGTTTTCTGTTTTCACTCTGTGATGCTTCTACATCTTTTGGTGGTACTACTTCGTCACTAGCACGATTCTTAAGTGTAAGAAGCTTTAAGTCTTCTTTACTTGCTCTTCTATAATTTCCACCATGTCTTGGTCCCTTTTCCAGTTCTAGGTTTTCCCTAAATACCTCTATATCCTCCAGTTTGTTGATATCTTTTGCTAATTTTTCGTCTTTGTACAGTTCTAAAGGTTCTACTTTTCTATGTAGTTTTCTTTTAGGTGATGGCATCTCTTTTATAATTTCAACTTCTTTGATATCTTGTTTAAACTGAGTCACGTGTGGTCCTGATTTATTGACTGGTAATTCTTTGTGTATTTCTATTTTCTTTCTTGTAATTAGAGGTTTATTTTCAAGTTTTAAGTTAGTTAATGGAACAGAGGAAGTTTTAATGTGTGAAGCAACAGTTGGAGGGGGTGCCTCAGTAGGTTGACCTAAAGTGCGTTTTGTTGGCCCGGGAGTAGTAGCTTTCAGTTTTGTTTCATTTGTTTCCTCTTCCTCGTCATCTTCTTCATCATCTGCAATAGTTTCATCGCCTTCTTCTTCATCATCATAACCACCGCCATTATCATCCCCTTCTTCATCTTCTTCTTCTTCTTCTTCATCGTCGTCTTCTTCATAATGACCTCGTTTTCTTTCCTTATTTAACATCTCCTGCTCATATGAAGGCATGTAATCTTTTATGTTATGTTTAACTCCAATCATAGCGTCTATTTCTTTTTCTTCTACATCATCATCAATATCATCATCATCATCGCCATATTTCTTTGTATCAGTTACTACGGTACTCTCAGAACTCTTTTTTTTCTTCTCTGTATATTTTGGCAAAGTAGAGTCCTTTTCTAATTTGTATTTATTTACATTAGTTGGTTCTGTAGCCTCTGTGCCTACTTGTTTTTCCCTTGGTTTGTAATTTCGAAATCGCGTGACTAACTTTAGTCGTTCTGGCTGATCTTCGTTATTGTAATTATTTGTATTTTCTGTTGTAGTAGAAACTTGTGTTCGCCTCCTAAACGCTGGCTTAAGCGTTGTAGTGGTAGTGGTGGTGGTGGTGGGTTTCATTTCATCACTATTTTCTTCTTCATCATCTTCATCATCATCATAATTATAGTCTTCATCATTTTCTTCCGTGTCCTCTCCTGATATTTCTTTAATTCTTTCAATTTCCTTCGATATTGGTGTAGGTGTTGTAGTTGCAACTATCCGCCTTACAGCGTTAGACGGAGATACTTTTGGACTGTTAGGCAAAAAGGATGCCACATCATATACAGGTGTCACAGTTGTAGTTGCATACCTAAAATGCTGTTTAACGCTGGGAGAAGTTGAGCTTGTTTGTAAAGATTTCACTGTGGTTACATCTGTTTTATCAGAATTTGTATGAGTGTTATAGTCGTCTATTGACATTGCTCGTCTGTTTTCAACTGGAGTATATTCTGATTTGTGATTAGTGAGCCTTATTTCATATCTAGGTTCTCCCCTGCGTTGGTCAACGCTAACATCCACAATAGTAGGATTGCCGTTGGACTCGACCCTATCGTTTTTTCCTATATTAACATAGTTACGACTGCTATTTTTTGGATTTGGTTTATAGTCATCACGATTTGATCTAGAAACTCGATCGACTACTCTACTTGTTTGCAACTGTCTAATTAGTGGGCTTATGTTACTGGTTGTAGTAGTTTTTTTCGAGTCTTGATACTGAGAGTCTCTAATAATCTTGTATGGCTCATAAACAAATTGTGAAGCCCGTTTTCTTCTTAGCTTTGGAGGCAATTTGGTTACTTCTTCTATATTTTGAAAGAAATTATAAGTTTTATTGGAAATTTCTTTATTTGATTGTAACAAACTTGTTGGTTCTTTCAAGCGGCTATGGGGGTGGTCAAATTCATTTCTGATATTGGTTAAAATATCTGTGTAAACATTGTTTTGCTCAGTGTTGTTTGCTGCCCAAGTATTTTTTGGGGTGTACGATTTAGCTTGAGAACTCTCATTTAGTTTCTGTTGAAATTCTTGAAGTGGCTTATCATTTATCCTTAATTTATTGAGTAATACAAATATATCGGTATTTGAAGCGCTATCTGGTTCCTGTAATAGATTTTGATAATTTAATTTCTGTTTTGCCTTTAAGTGATCAAATATAGAAAGTTTTGGTGCAAGAAGAGGTTTAGGGATTGATATTATATCTTCCTTAAAAAATGGACTATCTAAAGGATTTTCGCCAAAATACTTGGCTTTGAAGCAGTCAATTTTGTCACCTAGGCCATTGAGACGAGGTTTATTTGTCAGAGTAGTATTGTTTTCCTTAGTGTTGTGATTTGATTCGTCTCTTTCTTCTTCGTCATTATGCTCTTCAGTTGGGTTATTACCATTCTTTAATTTTTCAGGAATCGGATCAATATCTTCTTCTACTTCAGGGCATTCTAATTTTGAGCGTGAATCGTAAAATTCCGTACCGCCTGCCGATTTTTTTGGAATAGACTTTAAATTTTCAGCATATCTTAAGGGTGAGTGCTCATTAATTGATTTAAATTTTTTAAAATAATATGGGTACTTATCCCTTATATTATCTTTTATGGGTTTTATTTTTTGTTTTGCAATTTTCAGTATCTCACTTTCACTCAAATAAGTTTTATCTAAATTTATTGTTGGTATTTCAAAAGACGTTTCCCTTTTATCAACTTCATGACTTTTGTTTACTATGTGTATTTTGCTCCCAACCAAAGAATTATTGTATTTGTCGACTTCAATATCAGATATATTTTGAGCATTTTCATGATTATTAATATGAGCAAATTTGGTTTCGTTTTGATCTTCTCTCTTATTGCGATTACTTGCTCCTAAATTCTTATCTTTATAAGCATCAGCAGATTCGTCATATTCATTTTCAGAATAATCTTCAGCTCGTATTTCTTCTTCATTATCTGTATCATTATTTTCCCACTTTTTTTCGTGTTCTATATTGTCCCTGTGTTCTGATCCTTTTCCATCTTGATAACTTCCACTAAACGAAGGAGTCTTAAATAGTCCTCCACTTTTAGCAGTCTCTTTAAGAAAGCCACCGTGTCCTTCATGATCCAAAGCATGTTTTTGTTCTCCCGCATGATCATAGGCAGAATCTTCATATCCTTCTTCACTGTAAACAATTTGAGCCTTAGTGCTTTTAATAGCTTCTCGCAGTCGTGGTGCATTCAGAATTTCTTCATACGTATCTGCATCATCAAAAGCAGCTTTTTTGGGCAAGTGTTTGATGGTTTCTGTCTTTCTAACCTGCGCATAGTTTTTCACAGGTATAAATTCATCATCTACTTCTTTAGGTGTTGATTCGTTTGGTTGTATCTCCAATTTTTGGTAAGTTTCTGGTCTATTCTCTAGAACAGCTTTGTTAATTGACTCATCCAAATTGTTTCTAAGTTGTGTGTATTTCTGTTTACCTTTTTCGTATATATCATAACCATCTTCTTGCTGGGCTATATTTTCACTGAGTTGTAATTGAGGGTATTCGTTTTGTTCATCATCATATTTCATAGCATGTTGTTGTCTCAAGTTGTAAAGGTGGTTTTTTAATGGCTTGTAATGTAGTGGCCTAATTTTAATACTATGTTCATTCCATGGATGCTTAAATCTTTGATTTAGTACATGCTCTCTATGAGTATCTCGTGGTGGAATTCTATAGTATGTCGGACGTCTCTCAGGTCTATGAATTTCATAGTGGGCTGGCACATTCTTTTGAGGGAATAACTTTGAGTCTGTATATTTATTTTTTTCTAAATATTCATCATCAGCAATATTTGGCCGACCAGCGTCTTGTTCGTAGGCTTGTAATCTATTTTTGCTATCATGTAAGTCATTTCTAATTTTATTTAATATCGGATCTTTGTATAATTCCTGTAATGCAGGCACTTCGGCTTTATAAGGATGAAAAACTTCATAACTTGCAGACATTGGACTCACATATTTTGGTGTTCCTTCCACTTTTTGAACATATTTTTGATAAGGTTGATAAATGTTTCTGTCCTCATTCAACAAGTGATGAATACCTAAGACCGGTTTTTCTTTTCCTGTATATGGAATTATAGGGTATGCTTTGTAATGCTGCTCTGGATTCTTAACTCCATGAAAAGCTGCTACGTCAATGGCAAACTGTGGTTTCTTTGCTGTGTATTGAAAGTAATCAATCGGTATCGACTGGGATTGTTGAAGGGTTTGAACATTTTGTTGTTTATAGCTATCATCTTGATCATTAGGCTCATTACTCACTGCACTGTTAGCACTTTCGTTCCAGGTTGTAGGAACCTTGATAGTCAAACACAGTTCACAACACAGAAGCACTAAAAGTTCGATAATTTGTTTCATGTGCATTGTTCACATCACGGATCGCGACAGTGTCTGGCGGTTGACTGGAGCAGGTCGATGGGCTACCGAACGGTTTTTATCTCCTCTGTCGTTCGTTGCGGACCGATTGCTTGACGGCCGTTCGCTTTGTTTGTGACGTATGGTATAAGAGATAACCTTAAGCGGGTTGAATATATCATTAATTTATTGTTGGCCGATTTTATACAAAGCTACGAACTTATTCATTATAGTATACCAAGAATTTATATCCTTTTATATTATAATTTGCATTAAAAAAATATTGTTATAAATTTTAAACTAAATTGGAAGTTTTATCGCTCGTTGGTATAAGAGTTACAAAACTTCAGAATCTGGTGATCTTGAACTGGTGAATTTATGTACTGTACACCTCAATACTCCTGTTGGAATGTAGAAATAAAAAAGTAGATGAAAGATAACGAAACAGACAAATGACCAACGTCTATGACAAAGCAGCCGGATCTTAAACTTCTTACGTGAATATATTTGATTTATTGTTTTTGTGATGGAGTAACTTACAACATAGATAAATGGAACATACAGCTTACAATAGTATGAAAATATACCATAGTTTAGTGGTGACAGTTGATCACACACTTAAATCATAATAAAAAGTTAAAATCAGTCAAAAAGAAATACCATATTTTGGACAAAAAGTTTTTAAACAATTTTTTTTTACAATGCTATCTCCTCTTGCTTTGAAACGTCGAGGCTTTAGGAAAATAATACTTTCTAAGTGTCCCCAAAAGATGAATTAAAAAAAAAAAATTGTTGTATTTTTGAGCAAGATAGGTAGTGATGCAAAATCCCTTAATATTATATTTATCTACAGTTAGTTATTTTTCTTTGTTGTTGTCTATCATTTTATGTTTATGTAGTATTAGGTAATTTTAGCATAATATCTTCTCATAATAGTGGTCATATCTGATATGGATGATTTATTAGGAAGTTTTTTGTAAGTCTACATTCATTTAGAATCTTCCTCATTAACATGGAAATAATTTGATTTATAAATCATATTTATATTTTTTTAAATTAAATGAGTTTAAGAATCTTTGATAAAGGTTTTGAAAATATGTATTAATAACTTCCAAAGGTTCATCATGAATTGAAGGGGTGTTTATTTAGATGATTTAGTTTGATTCGTAAAGATGACTTATTTTAAGGAGAGGTCCTCACGGGCTATTTAGAAAGGATTAAAACACAGCTTTGTCCACACTGGTTAATTGCAACATACGACAACTTGCGGTTCATTCTGGTCGTTTATGACTGTAGTGCAGCAATACATGTTAAGGTTGCCAGACGCATAATTTGATTTGATAAATTTAATTCAACAATGCATGGAGGTAGTATAAAGTCATTTTTTTACTGCGGTGACTTTTTTATGCTACAGGGAATATACGAGTAGACGGGTCATGGGATGACAGTGCATTGCCGCCTTTTCATCCCCCCCCCCCCCACCCTCTCCGTCGTCGCCGTCCAAAACAGGTCGGGCATCGCCGTGAGAGAGCCATGCTTCGACACAAATGGGCAGGCTCGACAGGAGTGACACGTTTGTATGATCTGCAAACATGTGTTTCGTAGTTTGGGTATTTTCTATGTAATTATAATATGTAAGTATTTAAAAAAGTATTCTATCAGTCAATCTAGCTTTCATAGTACAAGGTCAGCTTAGTTTGAAACCTGACGGCATTGTGTGTCAGACGTAAATTATTTTTTTGTTTTCAAAAGACAACTCCCGCACTAGAAATAAATCCTGTGTCACGCGGGGCTTCACAAACACACATGAAACGACCACAAAAGACACCCAGACTCAGAACAACAATTTGTGGATCACATAAAGTATTGTCCCATGTGGGGATCGAACCGACAACACTCAGCGCAGTAGGAAGCGGCGAGGTAACCGCTTAAACCACTACCCCATCCATGCAGTCATCATACTATTCTTATTCATTTATTGCAAAGTACATTATTTCATCATCATCATAATTTCAACCGAAAGACATCCACTGATGGACATAGGCCTTTTTTTTTTTTTTTTTTACGTGTGGTAATCCCCTCGGACCGTCACCCCGCCGGGGCTCTCGTTCGGCGGGGCGGTGTGTCGGACTCGAACCGACTAAAACCACACGGTGTGCCCTCTTTGCGCTTTTAGTTTAGGAGGGGTCCAGGTAGCTATCTCCTTCTGGACCCCTCCCAGCGCCGGCCCGCTCCTGATGCGGGCTCCGTCTCAGTGGACCCTCTCTTTAGGCGACGTCCGGCACACGCGGACGCCACCCCCTCGCGGCTGGCCAACTAATGCGGGTGGAGGGGAGAACCCATCCCGTCCACCCGCGGCCACACTCAGGGCGGCATGAGGCGCAGGTAGGCGCGCCTCCGCCGCCCGGTTCGCCGGCGGCGGATCAGGTCCGAGTGGAGGTCGTCCTCCCGGGCCTTCTCCGCCGCCTCCTTCTGCGAGATTACCTCCTCGCAGAAGGTTGCGACCGCGGTAAAACAACCGTCGCTACCGGCCATGGAGCGAATTACGACCGGTAGCGAGAGATCCGCTCCGATGACTGCAGTGAGGGCCCGGCGCTGCGTCGCCCATGCGGGGCAAACCGCCAGCGTGTGCTGGGCCGAATCCTCACTGCAGTCGCAGTGGTGGCAGGCGGGACTCGATTCCCTCCTAGCGACCGAGTACAGGTACTTTCCGAAGCAACCGTGCCCGGAAAGCACCTGCGTCAGCCGGAAGGAAAGGGTCCCGTGCTGCCGCCCTGCCCACTCGGCGATGAACGGCTGGAGAGCCTCCACGGCGGCAAAGCCAGCGCGTGGAGTCTCCAGCCGGAACGACCATCTCACCATGGTGGCTCGGCGAGCGGCTTCGCGCCACTCGCGCACGTCTTCGGGCGGAGGGCGAAATCCGCTCTCCGCCCGGAAGTCAGCCACTCGCCGATAAACTTCGGCGAGCACTTCCGCCTCCAAATCCCACGGGGGTGTTCCGGCCAAGGCACAGGCCGCCTCGGTGGACACCGTGCGGTATCCGCGTATGGCTCTGACCGCCAATATCCTCTGGGGGCGCCAGAGGCGCGCCCTATTCGGGGCGGTCAGAGCCGCCACCCACACCGGTGCACCATACAGCGCCATGGACCGGACAACCCCCGCGTACAGCCGCCTCGTGGGAACACTGGCCCCGCCCAAATTGGGCAAAAGTCGCCCTAGGGCGGAGGCAGTGTCCACCAGCTTCGGACCAAGCTGTCGGAAGTGCTCGTCGAAGAGCCACCTACCGTCTAGGACCAGACCCAGATACCTCATCTGGGCCCGGACCGGTACGAGGACCGAGCCGACCTCGATTGAGGCGCCGGCGGGCGGACCACGACGGGGCCCATGAAATAATAGGGCCTCCGTCTTATCCAGGGCCACCCGTAATCCCAACGCCTCAATGCGCCCGACCACCTGGGAAACTCCCGTGGCGGCCAGGCGCGCCGCCTCCTGGAAGTTAGCCCCCCGGGCCGTGAGTAAGGTGTCGTCCGCGTAGCAGATTACACCCAGCCCGGGGGGGAGACGCCCTCGTAGGGCCCAGTCGTACCCGATGTTCCACAGGAGAGGTCCTAGGACAGACCCCTGCGGAACACCACACGACATGGCCCTGCGTCTCAAGACGCCATCTCGGTCCTCGTACATGACGGTTCGCTCCTCAAGATAGTCTGCCACCAGCCGCCTCAGGTACTCCGGCACTCCATGGTAGCGGAGCGCTTCCCTGATGCAGCTGAATGGCAGACTATTGAAGGCGTTGGCGATGTCCAAGGACACTGCCAGCACCACCCCGCCGCAGCTCACGGCCTCCTCGGTCACGGCCCTAAGGCGCATTACGGCATCGATCGTCGAACGCCCCTCTCGGAAACCGAATTGGGCGTCTGACAGATCGGGGCCAACCTCGCAAAGGTGCCGGACGATGCGGGCAGAGAGCACCCTCTCAAAAAGTTTGCCCGCCTCGTCCAGCAACACGATAGGCCTATAGGCCGCGACCGATTCGGCAGGCCGTCCCGGCTTCTGCAGCAGGACCAGCTTCCCGCATTTCCAGCGCTCAGGGAAGCGTCCGGACGCCAGGCTAGCGTCCAACACCCCCCTGAGGTGGTCCGACATGTAGTCGAGGGCTCGGGCCATCACTCGGGCTGGAACCCCGTCCGGCCCGGGGGCGGTGTTCTTGGATCGAATCCGTAGAACAGCCGCCCCCAACTCCGATTCCCTGACGGGCGGAACATCAACCTCGCTGCCCCCGTCGTCTTCGGCTGATGCAGCCATCGACGGGGGTGTGTGCTCCGCCCGCTGCGGGAATAGGCCCTCGACCACTTCCTGCAGGAAGCTGGGCTGGAGAGTCTCCGTAAGGGGGGGGCCCGACGTGCGGAGCTTTTGACGCACCGCACGATAAGGGCGACCCCAGGGGTCACGCTCGAGACTCTCCAGCATCTCCTCTCTACACGCATCCTTGGCGCGGCAGATGGCCAGCCTCAGAGTTTTCCGAGCTTCTCGGTACTCCTCATGAAGCCGGTCCACCTCCTCACCGACCCCGCGGTGACGTCGCCGACTACGGGTGAGGGACCTCCGGGCACGTACACAGGCCGCACGGAGGTCCGCCAACTCCTGGGACCACCAGTAGACCTCCTTCCTTGGAGGCCGACAACCACGAACGCGGGGCATGGCCGCATCGCAAATCTGCGTAATCGCATGGCAGAAGCGACCAGCCCCCATGTCGACCTCCTCGGTCGGGGCCTGCGGAGACAGCCAAGAGTGAATAATGGCCGCCTCCTCTAGAAGGTCCCTGTCGAGCTTGGCGACAGCCCACCGCGGGAAGCGGGAAGGGCGCCGCGCCGCGTGACCCCTACTGGGGTCCTGGGACCGGGAGAGCTCGAATCGGATGTACAAATGATCCAAGAGCGTCTCGACCTCTTCCAGGACACACCAGTTCCTTACTCGTGCGGCGACTGCAGGGGTAGCGAACGAAA